GAGAGAGAGAGAGAGAGAGAGAGAGAGAGAGAGAGAGAGAGAGAGAGGAACACTGAGGAGAGAGGCGTAGGAGAGTTGCCACCTGGGCTCAAAGGAAGTTGGACATGAACCTAAGGGGAGGTAACCAGCCACGGCTGGCATAGACTAGAATAGATGGGCTAACATAAGTTAAGAGCAAGTTGGGAAGCAAGCCTAGCTTAAGGTTTGACATTCATTAATAAGCATAAACCTCCATGTCCTTATCCAGGAACTGGGGCAGGCATAGAAACAGCCTAGATGGCTACAGTGTGACTCAGTACATGAGCGCATGAGTTCAGTGTCCACCCTGGAACTGGAGTTGCAGGAGGTTGTGTACTACCTGAGTGGGTGCTGGGAACTGAACTCAGGACCTCTGCAAAAGTAGTACTAAACCACTAACCATATTTCTATCCCTAAAACTAAGGTCTTTAAAGAGCTGGCTAAATTAAAATAAGTTTTTTCTTTCTTTGGGAGAGTGGGGGTGGGATGGGGTTGTGTATTTGGTTGTTTTAGGAAGAGCCCTAATCCCTTCTGATTTGCATTCTTTTTTTTTTTTTTCTCTTTTTCGAGACAGGGTTTCTCTGTGTAGCACTGGCTGTCCTGGAACTCACCAGGCTGGCCTCGAATCCAGAAATCCGCCTGCCTCTGTCTCCCAAGTGCTAGGATTAAAGGTGTGCACCACCACCACCCAGCCTGATTTGGATTCTTATAAGAAGTAATTTGCTGGATGCAATGACATATACCTGTAAGCCTAGCACTCAGGAAGCTGAGACAGGAGGACCATAAATTCAAGGTCAAGCTAGGCTACAACATTTTACAAATGGTTTCATGCCTGACCATTGCCATGGTATGAACCCTGAGTGTTCCCCGAAGGATCGATGTTGTAGGCCAGCTCTATTTGGAGCTTTAAGAGATAAGATCCAGCAACAGAAGTTGTTAATGTTCGACTTTGAGAAGGATTTGGGACTCTGGCCATTTCCTGTCCCTTTGCTTGCCATCCACCATCAGGTGAACAAGACTCTTCTGCCATGACCCCTTGCCACAAAGTAATATGTCACCATAGGCCAAAGCAAAAAAAGCAACAGCTGTGACCCAAAAGCCCACCAACGGTGAGTCAAGTGAGCCCTCCCTCCCTCTGAGGTGACTTTCTGATCACAGTGACAGAGAGTTAATGCGGTCAGGCTGGGGTTTCCTGTGCTTTCTTTTCAAGACCCAACTTGAGGTCAGTTGGATCTACATGCGAACTTAGCTGAAGGCCAAGAAGTGATATTTGATTGGATCTGTACGTTTATGATCTTCATCATCTTGAAAACTTTAAGCCACAAGATTTTACACTCTCCCCTGAATCTCATTCCTGAACTCCAATTCCACGTACACTTAGACCTTTAGATATTATCTCACAGGCATTTTTAGCCTTTATCCCCCCTGCACCTTAGTTTAAATGGTTTCTATTGTCATCTTCAAATTCATCATTATTTTCTTTTACAGTCTAATATGCTGTTGATTGACCCAGAGAGTAAATCATTTGTTTTCAAATATTCTGTTTGTTTTCTTCCTTTTTTCTAAAACAGAGTTTCATCGTATAGCCCAGACTGGCTCAAACGTACTCTACAGCCAAGGATGACCTTAAACTTTTGATCTATCTGCCTCTACCTCCAAGTCATGGGAATGCATGTGTGTGCCGCCATGCACAGAATATTAGGTGCTGGGATCAAACCCAGGGTTTTCTGTGTTCTAGGCAATCACTTTACCATCTGAGCTACAGCCACAGCTGATACACCGTGACTTACTTCAATCTAAGTTTCTCTGTCTCTCTCTCTCTGTCTCTCTCTCTCTGTCTCTCTCTCTCTGTCTCTCTCTCTCTGTCTCTCTCTGTCTCTCTCTCTGTGTGTGTGTGTGTGTGTGTGTGTGTGTGTGTGTGTGTGTGTGTTATATTCCCCACCCTTTAACCCTGACACCTGGCACTGCAGCATCCTTTTCTGCTAATTCATCATCTCTGTTGTTTCTGGGTTGGTTTGTTTTACCTTTCTCTATTCCTATTGATATTTAAGATTTTTTTTATTTTTTCTTCTTCTTCTTTTTTTTTTCTTTTTTTTTTGGTTTTTTGAGACAGGGTTTTTCTGTGTAGCCCTGGCTGTCCTGGAACTCACTCTGTAGACCAGGCTGGCCTCGAACTCAGAAATCCACCTGCCTCTGCCTCCCAAGTGCTGGGATTAAAGGCGTGCGCCACCACCACCCAGCTTTTTGTTTTGTTTTTTAAGATAGAGCTTCTCTGTGTGACCTTGGCTGTCCTTGAACTCACTCTGTACACCAGGCTAGCCTCAAACTCACAGAGATCCACCTGCCTCTAAAGTGCTGGGATTGAAGGCATATGCCACCACTGCATGGCTGATATTTCAGATTTTTTAAAATCATTTATTTTTATTTTATGTGTATGAGTGTTTCCCTGCATGCATGTCTGTGCACCACATGGAGTGCCTGGTACCTGATGAACTAGAAGAGGGTGTCAGATCTCCTAGAACTAGAACTAGAGACAGTTGTGAGCCTACTACATGGGTGCTGGGAATCACACTCAGGTTAACTGAACCATCTCTCCAGTCCTGAATTTTTAGCTCTGTTCATTTTTTGAATGCCTATTAAATTTTATCAGATATTAAATAACGTGACCATTATATTGTTGAAATTATAAGATTGTTTTGTCTTCCTTAAAGTAATATTCAGTTTTGCCCAAACAAAAAAGAGATCAAATTTTCTAATATTTTTGTTTTGTTTTGCTTGTTTGTGGAGAGACTTCATTATGTAGCCCTGGCTGTCCCAGAACTCACTATGTAGACCAGGCTGGTCTCAAACTCACAGAGACACCTACCTGCCTCTGCCTTTTGAGTGCTGATATTAAAGGCCTGTGCCCACCACATCTGACTAAAATAAATAAATATATATATATAATGAGTGTTGTGCTGCTATGTACATATATAAGAACGTGTGTGTGTGTGTGTGTGTACACGCGCCCACCTCTAACTCCAGCTCAGGGAGACACAACGCCTTCTTCTAGCCTCCGAGAATGTACACCCAACACAACACATGAAATCTATGAAATAAACTTTAAATATGTTTTTATTCTTCCAGAGTATCTAGTAGCATATGAAGAAGTATATGTGATCAACCCCCTCCTTCCTGAGCAGTAATTTGTTTTTGACGTTACTTTTTTTTTTTTTTTTTTAAGATAAGGTCTCCATTTTAAACCCCAGCTGGCCTTGATGGCCTCCCTGCATCAGCTTCTTCAGTGCTGGGATCACAGGCATGCAACACCATGCCCAGCTTGTTTCGACTTATGCTTTAGGGAAGCTTTTAGTTTCAAGAAATACACAACGAAATCTACAAATAGATGATAACAAGCTTGAAACAGCAGATTCAAGATATTACGTTCAACTTTCATTTTTAGTCTCTGCATAGCCACAGTTATTTCCTGGAAGCTGCCTTCCCTATAGCTTTGTCAGATTCCAGGGGACTTTCGAATTTCATTGGATCTGTAATTACAGTATATCTTGCAGTAAGAAAAAAAACCCACGCCAAGCACAGATGCAAAAGCTACTGTTTTCGCCTTTCTGGTTTGCCTGTTTGTGGAGTTATTTCTAGTTTGAGGTTTTGTTTCTTTATTATCTCCTCGTGACAGGATCTCTCTCTGCAGTCCAGGCTGGCCTTAAACACAGTAGGTAACCAAGATTCACCTAGAACTCCCAGCAATCCTCCTGCCTCTGCCTCCCAAATGCTGGGATTATAGACTTGAGCCACGATTCCAAGAGTAAAGGCTATTTTTAACCCAAGAAATCAAGGGACAATTACGGTTTGGGAAATGGAAGGGAAGACGGGAAATATGCTGTTTACACTGCCACTTAACAGCGGTCTCCAACGTGTCTCTTAGCTTCAATCTCTGAGGGATCTTCTTGACGCTTTTTAACCACTTCAGATACTACCGCCTGGCTTCATTCTCCCTCACTACCTAATCTGTGACATCCTGCTGACATCCTGCCCATTTCCAAAATGGCCTCTCCCGCAGCGTCAAAGTTCCGAGTGCGCATGCGCGAGAGTAAGTTCTCTTCCTGGTAAGATGGCGGTGAGTTCGGTGTGCGGTCGCTGGCAGCTTCTGCGACTCCTAGGACCCCAGCGTTCGGTAAGGTTCGGTCCATAGCGTGGGGATGCTGCCTTGTGCTTGTCACCTGAGCTGAGGTCTCGAGCAGACGCTGACCTGGTCATTGGGATCTGCGTGTCATGACCTCGGGTCGCGTGAGGACACCACCGGGTTACGTCCTGGGGGTTGGTGGCCTGGCTTCTCTGTAGCTGTCTGGGAACTGCCTTCGTCCCTGAGCTGTGACCTCTGGGCCCTGTCCTCGGGCTTCGGTAACGGGACGCGGGACACCAGGGCCCGACCTGCACCCTGCACGCTCCAGTGCATGCCTTCGGGGCCTGCATTCTGTGCGAGCAGAGTTGCAGTGCCCCGACTGCTGCAGCAGGCTGTCTGCGGGAGAGGCAGGACGGCTAGGACTCAAGGCCTTCTCTTATGCTTTCACACGGTCAGTTCCACAGCGTCGCAGGGTCTCTGAAACCGCTGGCAGCCGAGCTCCTCGCAGCACGCCCGGGTAATGGGCGGCCACACTACGCTCTTCTCGGAGTCTTAACTCCTCGCTGCATCAGTACATCTGCCACCTTCTTTGCAGAAGCCCAGGTAAGAGGTTCCCACCGAAGAAAGGAGCACAGCTTCTTGGCCCGTTTCTTTTGTTCTATGTTGTTTTGTTTTGTTTCACGGGAGACATTTGTGAATGTGTAGCTGAGTTCTTTTCACACTCCACAAAGTTCCTCATAATATTAGCCTGTTTGTAATAGAAGTAGATTCTCAGTCAACTCAGTGGGGAAATGCTTAAAAGCACATGAGAAATTTATGGGGCAGGCAAGATGACCCAGCTGTACAAAAGCTCTTGCTATGCAACCCTGGTAACCTGAATGCCAATCCTGGAACCCAAGTAAAGGTGAAGCCGGTTGTGGCGCAATCCCTGTAATCCCAGCACTTGGGAGGCAGAGACAGACAGATCCCTGAGTTCAAAACCAGCCTGGTCAGCATAGCAAGTCAGAGCTGTGTAGTGTGACCTTGTCATTATTATTATCATTAATGGAGGAAGGCAAGAACTGGCTCCACAAAGTTAGTCTGACTTCCACACATGCTGTGGCAGGCATGCCTACACACATCATGCACACATAATAAAAATAAATTAAATTTTATATTATATTCAAGCCACTGCCAGAGGGGTGGTGGGAAGCCAATGAGGTGAAATGTGATTGTGGGTTTGTGTATTTGTGGTATGTGTGATTCTTTGAATAATGTTTCTTAGGAGCCTGAGTAGGATTTTTCTCTTAAAGATTTATGTGTTGTGTTATGTGTATGTGTGTGACTGTGTACATGTGATCATGGGTAACCATTAGAGACCCGGAGGCTGGAGTTACAAGTGGTTGTATGCTGCCCTACAAGGATACTGGAAACTGAAAATGGATCTCTTTACAAGAGTTCTTAACACCCAGCCATGTCTTGGGATATGCTCAATAACAGCTATTGGTTAGCATGTACTACATACAACCTGAACTACAGAGCAATCAAGATCCTGCCTCCAAAACTAACTTCTCCACCCACTCACCACCAGTAAAAAAAAGAAAGAAAGATTTAAAAAATGAGTTGAATTAAAGAGAATAAATTAGTATCAGGCTGAGGGCTAGCTCAGTCACTGGTCTGTGTTCTTGCCAGATGTATGCAAGACCCTGAGTTCTGTTTCCAGCACAAAACAAAAGGATTCCAAGTCCTATCGATTTGGAATATGGGGAGGATGATAACCATGATGTTCACATGACTGGAGTCTGGGAAGTGTGATATGGGAAGCAAGTTCCTTGCCAGAAGGGAAGCCATGAGACACTATCAAGTTACTCTTCTTATGCTAGAGGCAAAAAGTAATGTCCTTTGAGAGCAGGAATGTATGGACACCATTGGCCATCCTTGAACATCAAGGAGTAAAAGCAAGAAAACAGAGCCCAGGACTGGTTAGCGGAAGGGAGCCTCACCTTTTATATATCCCACTTATGGTTCTTGGTCCCATTCCTCACAGGTCCAGGCATCTCCTGTTGTTCCTGCTACCTCCACCCCCACTGCAGTACCAGAGGTAGCTTCAGGAGGAGCTGCAGATGTACTCCAGTGTGCTACAGAACAGAGCTTCACAGAACTGGGGCTTGGCTCTTACACCCCAGTGGGATGCATCCAGAACCTCTTGGAATATATACATGTCGACCTGGGCCTGCCTTGGTGGGGGGCCATTGCCACATGTAAGAGTACATACATCCTGAGCAAGGATGGGGAAAATGGGGTCAGAACCTCAACAATGGCAGTTCTGTCAGTGGATTAAGGAAATGGGTGCAAAACATAGAGGTTACAAAAGCAAATGATTCAAAAAGGGAAGGTACACTCAACTTTTAGTTCCTAAAGAGCATTAGAAAGCCATATATCATATGTACAGGTATCAGCATACAACATACAGGTATCTGAATGTGAGCTGAGAGCTGGGGTAAGGGAACCATATTAAAAGTAATGAAGCTGCCCTGACTTGGCAGACTAGAAGATTGGGTTGGGTACTTTTGCTCCCAAATTAGAAAGCTATTCTCATTGCTCTTACAAAAGCTGAAACTTTTAATTCTGTTTCTTCCTTAGACCAGTAAGCATTTTTTTTAAAAATCATAAAAACTCAGTTAAGGGTAGAAATGTAACTCAGTGATAGAGCACTTGCCTATCATGCACAAAACCAGCCTGGGCTACACATAGGGCCCTATCAAAAAGCATGTCATCTAGACTTCGAAGCATTTGTCTGCCCCCAGTGCTTGGGAGATAGAGGAAGGAGGGTCAGAGTTTGGTCACCCTTAGTTAAATAAAGAGTTCAAGGTTAGCCTTGTACCTCAGTCACTGTTCAGTGGCCATGAAGAGATGCCATGACCAAAACAACTCCTATAAAGGAAAGCATCTAGCTAGGGACTTGTTTATATTTCAAGAGTTTTGGTCCATCATTGTCATCCCAGGGAGCATGGCTGGCAGCATGGAGGCAGGCATGGTGCTAGAGAAGTAGCCAAGAGCTACAGCCTGAGCTCTTTGAGGTTGAGGCCAGCCTGATCTACATAGCAAGTTCCAGGCCAACAAAGGTAACAGAAGCCCTGTTGGGGAGATGGGAAGACAGAGCTGAAGATAGCTCTGTGGTTAAGAGCACAGCTGCTTTTGCAAAGGACCCAGGTTCCTTTCCCAGTACCCACACTGGCTCATATCTGTCTTATTCCAGTTCCAGGAGATGCCTTTTTGGCCTCTATGGGCATATGGACAGACAGCCAAAACACCTATACACATTAAATGAAAATAAAAAATTTTCCTTTATTTTATATGTATGAGTGTGTACATGTATACCTGTGTACCACATGCATGCAATGCCTGAATCCAGTAACCTTGAAACTGCTAGGCAAGTGTGCTACCACTAAGACAAATTCCCAAGCCCCTTGGTTTTCTAGAGTTTTTTAAAGATTAATTTTAGTGTGTGTGTGTGTGTACGCAAATTCGAGTACATGTGCATGCATGCATTTCCCTGTGAGTATGTACACTTGCCTGCAAAAGCCAAAAGGGTATTGGATCCCTTGGAGCTGGGGTTACAGGCAGTTATGAGCCACCTCTCATGGGTACTGAGAATCAAACTCAGGTCCTCTACAAAAGAGCAATCACTTTTAACCACTGCCCATTCTCTCCAGCCCACTCCCTTGACTTAAAGTAAGGTCTTACTATGTGGGCCAGGCTTTCCTCGAACTCTTGATACTCTTGAGCTCTCTGGTGCTGAGATTGGAAGCTGGTGCTACCACCTTTGGTTTTGGTGCCTTCCTGTTTACACTAAGTACACAAATGTGAAAAACTGCCCTGTTGTCTCTCCCTATTTTCTTGTTTTTCTGACCACACCTGCCCATATTTGTTACTTGACACTCCACCTCTCTTGAGTGAAAATATTCTGAGTTATGCCCTTGGTTTCTTAACCCAGACCCACTTAGATGTCGACAGATAGCATAAGCTAATCACTTGTTGGAATGGCCAGTAGACAGGAGTCTAAGGAAGGGGGAAGCGTTAAACCACCAGAACATGGTGGGTTACTACCCCAGGGACTTGTAAATCTGACTTTCCAGCTTTGTTCTGAGCCGGGTATGATGGCCATACCTGTAGTTATAGCACGAGGGAGGCTGAGGAAGGATGGTCATAAGTTCAAGGCCACCTTGTACACACCAAGACCCTATTGCAGAAAATGAACTCATACTTCATTCTGAGACTCAGAGATGCTGATCATGGTGGAGGTTCTGGGTGAATGTTTTTCCTTTATCAAGGAATTAGTTTATATATTTTCATCTACAACTTAAAAGTTGATGGGGCTGGAGAGGTGGCTCAATGGTTAGGAGCACTGGCTGCTCTTCCATAGGACCCAGGTTCAGTTCCCAGCACCCATATGTCAGTTCACAACTGCCTGTAACTCCAGTTCCAGGGAATCCGACACTCTCACATAGACATGCATACAGGCAAAACCCGATAGATAGATAGATAGATAGATAGATAGATAGATAGATAGATAGATAGATAGATCTTTAGAAAGAGTTGAAAAGTTTCCATTAATAGAAAAATTTGGAGGCTATTAAAGTACAAAAGACTTTTGCTTGGTGGTGGCAATGGTTGTTCCAGGGAAACAAACACGATCCTTGCTCATCTACTTAAGAGAAGTTATGCTGAACTTTTATTCTACCACAGTGGTCTGAGCTTTGAAGAACTGGGTATACCCTGTCCTTAATTCTGGGCCCCTTGGGTGGGAGCCACAGTGAGGAAAAGTCTGGAGTAAGCATTGGAGTGAGAACCTGGAGCCTTCAGCCTTCCAGGTGCAGGAAGCTTTTAATTTCACTCCAAGCCTGTGCTGTATTTTCTAGGTACCATCCTTGCCCGTTGCCTGGTTTTTCCTCTCATTGTGAAGGGCCAGCGAGAAGCAGCCAAGATCCACAACCACATGCCAATGATGCAGAAGTTTTCCACTCGAATCAGAGAGGCTAAGTTGGCAGGAGACCAGGCTGAGTGTGAGTTGGTTCCAGGGCAGGTGTGGGAGAGAAGCGAGTTTGCATTTGAGATATTCCACTTTGGGGAAGGAACAAGTGCCATGGTCCGGCAATTTTGACAAATCTGAAGGGTCTTCCATTTCTTGGAAAGAATAGGATATTAAGCTTCACTGATGTCACTCTTAACCCAGTGATCCATCCCTCTTGTCACAGTTTACAAGGCCACCATAGAGATGACACACTATCAGAAAAAACATGATATTAAACTCATCAGACCACTCATTCTACCTCTCACTCAGGTGAGCAGAAATATGTCCTGCTTATTTATTCTGAACCCATCAAGTTGTCTCCTGTTTCCTATGTCCCCTGCTCCCCAGAAATGTAAGTGATGTGCATGGCTTTTAGTAACAGGGCTATAAAAATGTACCTCCAGTTAGGTGTGCTGACTGTTTACCCTGTGTAACAGGCCCCAGTCTTCATCTCCTTCTTTATTGCCTTGAGAGAGATGGCCAACCTGCCTGTGCCCAGCCTCCAGACAGGTGGGCTCTGGTGGTTTCAAGATCTCACTGTATCTGATCCCATCTACGTCTTGCCACTGGTAGTCACCGCCACAATGTGGGGTGTCCTTGAGGTAAGCTGGGTCTGGCCGAGAGCTAAGCCTGCCAGTAAACAGGGAGTAGGGATGGAGTAGTATGTAGAATGTGTGTCTTCCATCCTCCATTCCCTGGAGAAGGAGAGTTGATGGGTCAGGGCTTAGAATTTACTCTTTTCCTCAACCCCTTTTTGGCAGCTAGGTGCTGAGACGGGTGTGCAGAGTGCTGACCTTCAGTTCATGAGGAACATTATCAGGGTGATGCCCCTAGTCGTCTTGCCTGTGACCATCCACTTCCCCTCGGTAGGTAATGGTTTAGTAGCAGCCTCCAGGTCCTTCTGTCTAGTACCTCTGAACAAACTGACTGGGATGCAGCTCTGAGCGCCTTCCCTTCATTCACCCAGGCAGTGTTCATGTACTGGCTGTCCTCCAATATGTTCTCCCTGTGCCAAGTAGCCTGCCTCCGGATTCCAGCTGTGCGCACAATGCTTAAGATCCCCCAGCGAGTTGAACATGACCCCGACAAATTGCCTCCTAGGGAAGGCTTCTTGAAGAGCTTCAAGAAAGGTAAGGGGTATTGGACAATGTGCCGGCAGGTAGCTGTCATCCCAGCAAGCCCAAGGCTGAAGCAGGATTGTACTCCCTAGCCAACCTAGGCTACATAGCGGGCTATAGAACTTGAGACTTTCCTCAGAAAGGAAGGAACCAGGGAATCAGGGTCAGGGGAATGTAGCCTAAACATGAGAGAGGAACTTACTTTCTTCTCACACAGGCTGGAAGAATGCTGAACTTGCACATCAGCTCCAAGAGCGGGAGCAGCGGATGCAGAAACACTTGGACATAGCTGCCAGAGGTAAGGAGGCTCTCAGGCTAAATACTGTCTTCCATTTCTTCTTTCTCTTTGTTTACTGAGATTTTTTTCTCTCTTCTCCCAGGTCCCTTACGGCAGACTTTTACCCATAACCCTCTGCTACAGCATGATCCAAGTCACCCCCCCAAAGCCCCCAACAGCAGCACCAACAGCATCAAAGGAAATGCAAAGAAGCCCTGGCAGGACACACTTGGCTGATGTGTGCTCGCTCTGATGAGAACCCTGCCTCTGCACAGATTCTTCTAAACAGACTTGATCCTATGTCCTTGTCCCAGCCCTGGGGACTACAGCATTTGGAAGTGTTCATTTTAAAAATTGTTTCCACTACAGACTCCTACTCGTGTGTATTAAAAGAGCCCTGGAGAGCCAAGCAACCTTCCCATCCACAGAGTTAGTAAACCTCTGTCTTATCTGGGCTTCTTGATGTTTGTTAAATATGGAATGGGAGTTGTTGGACACTACAGGGTGGAAAATGATTTCCCTCACTAGCCCTTGCTCTTGGGAAGGATCTTCATGTTTTATCTTGGACTTCAAAACTCAGCCCTCTACCTCACACACTGCATCTCCATCTGCATTTGCACTGTAGAGGTATGATGGGCAAGACCGTATGACGGTCGCCTTTGTGGTGCTGGAGATTGATCCTACATCTCTAGCCCTGATCATGTTTCTTGACCCCCATGATTACTTTTGCAATTTCTTGAAGAAGCAGATACGCTGAAATTCTTAGTGACGATTTAAAAGAATGAAGGGGGTCTAGGGAAAAGCGGATCAGCAGATAAGACTTCAAATCCCCAGCACTCATGTGAAAAGCTGAACATGGTCCTGCTTTTATGCCTGTGACCCCAGTGCTGTGGGGTGTGGAGACAGGAGGGCCACTTGTTTTGCTGGCCATCAGCCTAGCTCCAGGTTCAGTGTGAGATCCTGTCTCAGAATATAAAGGTAGACATGATAGAGAGGACACTTGACACCCTGCTCTGGCCTCTGTACATGCGCCATACTTTAAGAAGAAGCCCAAGTGTTTATGCACAAGCTTTTCCCATTCATGACATTTTAATACAACAGTTTTGTTGTGTGTTTATACAAGTCAGTTTTATTGCCTCTGGCAGCTGGATTTGGAGGGAGAAATTGAATCTTAGTTTCCATGACTGTTTTTGAACTGCACGAATATCCCAGAGTCATTAAGTAGAATAAAGCCACTCAGACCTTAGGAACATAACCTTTTTATTGTTTTGCATCTGACAGTTTTGTGTCCCTCTAAAGGAGACAAGTTTGGAGCATTGTTGGCCCTTGTAAAAGAAAAGAGGAGTGGGTAGGCACACCCAGGTGCTGCCAGAACCAAGCCCCAGAAATGGCCTGCTTCCGGCCACAGTCTGCATTATCCATTTATGAAGTCTGAAACAACATGTAGCAAAACAAATAAATTACTCTTCATCCCTCAAAAGCAAGTTCAGAGTTGAAGATGCCAAGCCTTGGCTCCTGGATGGGGCTTGCAGAGGTTCTGGCCAATGGGAGATAAGAAACACCTGTCCACAGCTCAGAATCCCCCGCTCTATTTAGACTTGGTATCTTGTTTGGGCAACTCTCCATCTTCCAAGTCCATTTCTGCAGCAACTGACATACAGAGGATCTGGAGGTACCGTGTGGTAGAGGCTACAAAGAGAAACCTGAATTAAAACCGGGAACAGGGTCAGGGGGCTGAGTTCAGGGCCACCAAAGGGGACTGCTCCAAGAAGGAGTGATTCAGCTAAGCCATATGGTTAATAACAGGAACCAGCTGTGGTAAGGTTTGCAGAAAAAGGCAAAAACCAGTCTATTCGGGTAGCTGACCCAATTGGAGATGCCAAGCTTACCTACAATCCTGCGAAGGCACAGAGGTCGTTTGTGCTCCGGCACTCTGATGATGAGGAAGTAGAAGGGCAAGCCCGAGAGTGCGATGGCAATGCCAATGAGGGAGTTGATGGTGTCACTGTAAAGTGGAACAGCCACCAGGAAGATGGTACAGAGGCAGAAGATGATGGGGAAGAAAAGGCTGAGCTAAGGGCACAGAGGAAACAGAGTTAGCGCAGCATGGTTTTGTTTGCTGCTTGTTGTTTCAAGATAGTCTGTCTCACTTTGTAGCCCAAGCTAGCCTCAAACTCAAACCTAGCTCAGCCTGAGTGCTGGGATTGTAGGCACGGATTGGTCCCTACACCCAGCTAACTCAGCAACCAAAAGTCCTTATCCCCTAAGCACTGAAGGGCTTAGAGACAGACACATTGGTATTGCATGTACCACCTGCCCACTGTCTGCATGCAGCCACCACCAAGTCTTAGCATTGTTTATTGGGTTTTGGTTGGGGATGGGGTGGGGAGGGGGTGCTGCTTATTTTAGGGCATTGAGATGAGACAGTGCTGAAGATCCGACCCAAGGCCTCATGTGTGCTAGACAAGTATTCCACCACTGAGCTGTAGCCTCAGTCCTTGGGGTTTGTTCGGGTCAGGGCCAGGTTGTTGGATTTTCTTTTCTTTGTTTTTTGTTTTTGTTTTTTTTAACTAAAAGAAAAACAAAAACCTAGTGTCTCAGCATAGCCTGGCTATTTACAACTAGTCTTTATGCCTTCACCTCTCAAGGGCTGGGGTGACAAGCTTATTGGTTTTGTTTCAGAGTGATATTTTGGGGTTTGTTTTTTTTGTTTTTGTTTTTTGTTGTTTTGTTGTTGTTGTTGTTTTTAAATGTATTTATTTTATGTATGTGAGTACACTGTCGCTGTCTTCAGACGCATCAGAAGAGGGCATCAGATCTCATTACAGATGGTTGTGAGCCACCATGTGGTTGCTAGGAATTGAACTCAGGACCTCTGGAAGAGCAGTCAGTGCTCTTAACCACTGAGCTATCTCTCCAGCCCCGGGGTTTGTTTTTTTAATGCATGTTTTGTTGCATGAGAAGCCAAAGATGGTATTGGATCCCTTGGAACTGGGGTTAGATGGTTATCAGCCACTGTGTAGGTGCTGAGAATCAAAGCCAGGTTCTTTGTAAAATCAAGTACTCTTAACCACTGAGCCATGTCTCCAGCCCAATCCTTCG